AACCCCCTTTATCAAGCTTTTTATCTCTTGTGCCTGGAGAAACGGTCCTCACAGCAGCCTGCCTCCTCCTGTGCTAATTTACTGACAGACAGACCGGCTCTCCCCTCCGGCTGGTTTTGGCTCTGGAAGTACAAGTGCCGCCTTGCCATAGGATGCAAAAGGGGGGGGGAAAAGAGAGAAAGAAAGCAAAATCCTGTGGCTAAAATATACTTCTCTTCTGATGAGCCCCACGGCTGTAAGGCTGATGTAGGAGTGGTTATGGTTAAGGATGGTGCCGGTGAGAGCTGGGGCAGGTTATTGGAGAGGGACCAGCTGCCCCCCTGGGAGGGAGGAACCCCGACCCTCTGGGGGACCCGCGAGCCTGGGACTGCCCCAAATGCCGGGGTCCTGGGATGCTGCGGCTCCCGGGAAGCCTCGGGTTGGAAACGCCTCATGGGGCCTCCCTGGACAGGTCTCTTCTCCTCCATCTGGTCTGTTGCTCCCAGGGCTGGTGCTGAAGCTGATTAAATGCTGCAGAGCTCTTTGAAGATGAAGTTTGCTGTGTTCGTGTTAAATATTAGCATGACTAGCCCTAGGGCTAGCTGCACTTTTCTATTCAAAAGGCATATCTTTAATAATGTCTTTTTTTTTTCCCCCAGCGCCCAGCAGCCTACCCCAGGCTGTGCTTTCCGCCTAATATCTGTATTTTTTTAAAATATATATTTGTGCTTTTTTGTGTGGATAGGAACTTAGCAATCGGGATTGGGATTCAGAATTTCCCGGAGGGCCTGGCCGTCAGCCTGCCTTTGCGTGGCGCTGGATTTTCAACGTGGAAAGCGTTCTGGTAAGCCGAGCTCCTCTTTGCCCGTGGAAATGAGAGCCCTCTGCCAGCAGCTCCTGACGAGCGGGTGCCCATAGATTTCCTCCCTGTATCCATTTGCGCTGCTCCGTCATTGAGCTGCCCTTGGGATGGGCTTGCTCCAGACCTGCCGGGTCCCCTCCTGGCATTGCGGAGAGCTGCTGCTGGGAGCACTGCTGGTTTCCAGCTTTGAGGAAGGGCGGGGAGCACTGCCCTGCTCCCTCCACAGCACCCAAGCTCAGGTCCGAGCCCCTGACTCCCAGGGGATACCTCGGTGATCCTGGTGGGTCATGCCATCCCGCTTCAGCTGAGCGCCTGTGGTGAGCTCCCAGCTCCTGCACTAAACTTTTTTTTTTTTATTTTTTTTTTTTTAAATTTTTATTTTGTTTCATTTTTTCTCTCACTTCACTCTGGGCTGGATTTCAAACCCACTTTTTCATTTTTTCTTTTTTTCTTTTTTTCTTTTCCTTTTTCCCCGAGGTGAAAAAGCTAAGGGCATGAACCCTGCGAGCGCGGGGCTGCGTTCCTGCCCGTGCACGTGTGCTCGGCCGGGTGATGGATGGGAGGGCAGAGGGGCGGCTTGGAAATGGCTCCCGCCAAAGCTTTGTTTTCTTTTCCTCCCACCCACCTCCATTTCAGTAAGCGCAGCCGGTGCTGGGACTTGCACCGGGATTGCTGCTGCCGGGAAGGGAGTTCCCATGGTCCAGAGAGTTAAAACAGTCCTAGAGGGAAAGAAAGTGAGGGGGAAGAGCACAATTTCGTCCTGGTTGAGGCTGTGGCCAGATGTCATCTTTGGGATTGAGCTATGCTGGTTGGAAATGTTTCCTCTTTTGACCCGTCCCTGCCCATGAGCTGGATCCCCAAATCCCGCAGAGCTCTTGGGGGAAGGAATCGGATTGTGCCTTAATTCCCTTCCTAGAAAAATCAGCTAGGCTAGGTCAAATCACCTTCATCGCCCGTTTGAAATAATCCAGGTGGCTTGGCTTGACATGGCCGGGCGGCTGACCTCCTCCCGGACACGGTGGCATTAGGGAAGACAGTGGGGATGGGGAGCTGCAGAGCCCCCGGCAGCCCCGCGGGAGGGCTGTGCCGCCCCTCGCGCTGGGTCCCCGTCGGCTTTTAGTCTCGGTCTTTTGCAGGTACGGGCAGCTGAGCGGCATGGTGGAGCCCTTAGCCGGCGTCTTCGGTGCCTTCGCTGTGGTGGTGGCAGAGCCTCTCCTCCCCTACGCCTTGGGCTTTGCGGCTGGAGCAATGGTCTACGTGGTGATGGATGATATCATCCCTGAGGCACAGACCAGGTGAGACCCCCTCGGTGACCACCACTAAAGGCGGATAGAGACGGGGGGAAGCGCAGAGGACTCTGGAAGATCCCTTCCCTTGCCCGGATGAGGAAGCAGCGCTTCCCTCATCCAGAAAGCCGGTCCTGGCTCCTAGGAGCTCATGCCCTTCCCTTTTCTCCCTGCAGCGGCAACGGGAAGCTGGCTTCCTGGACCTCGATATTAGGATTTGTGGTGATGATGTCCCTGGACGTTGGGCTTGGGTAGGCCAGCGCACTGCTCCCCAGGAGAAGACTTCAGAGCAAATTGTGCGGCGGCGTTTGGAACTGGACATGCGTTACCCTCTAGACTTTTTTTGTATATATATTTTTTTTTGGATCTGGTTTGGTGTTGATTTCCTATAATTTTATATCTCTTCCTCCCCTCCAACGTCATGTCGATGGTTTTCAAAGCACAAATACGGGTGGTTCCTCGCAGGTCCTGGTTTCCTTTCGCCACCAGATTTTCTTTTCCTTTCAGGAAGGTTGTTGGACGACGCGTCGGCTGAGCTGCAGGTCACCCTGTCCTTTCCCTTCCACGCTGGGCTGGTTTCTCTGAGTCAGGTCGCTCTGGGTTTTGATCATCTTTGTTCTGTAGAAGATTAGAAATTCACTGTCGCGTGTTTAAGCTGGTCTGTGGTTAAGTACCAAGGCATTTGAATGGAGTAAACTCCTTACGGAGTCTCGATTTCCACACTGTTTTTGAAGGGCAGGTGGAAGGCATTAGGGCTAAGATAACACGTGCAGCACTGCGGGATCGCAGGTCTCGTGTATCCTGCTGGTCCTTGGGAATGTTCTAGGGTGTTAGTTTTGATGGATGCAAATAGTCCAGGCAAATAAAAATGAATTTTCTCGGGATCTCTGCAAGAGGGAAATGTCATTTTTTCCTAAATTTATCTCCTAAGCGGAGCTTTGTTCCAGTGCATTGTGTCCAATACCTCGAGGTTTTCTCTGAAGAAAAAAACAAACAAACGAGAGAAGAATATTTGTGTTTTCTAGCATGTACTCTTTGAAATGGCAAGGTGTGGTCATCCACGTCGTCGATGATGTGCTGCCTGACTGGTGTACAGCAGGATGCGTTTCCACGTGGGCCCATGACTCTGTCTGGCCTTACCGAGCGATTGCTGGTTTACGGCTGCTGGTTCCAATGGTTCATAACTCCCCGAAGAGCCGACGCAGGTTTTTCCCGGTGGTGGCCCTGGTCGCACTTCACCCCGCAGAAGAGCTCGGAGCTGAGTCAGGACCTGAGTGTGCTGGGAGCTCTCGTCTTCCTGAGCAGCAGCAGGATGAAATAATTCATCAGAGTGAATTAGTTATCCTACGTGAAGAGCCAGAAACATGCACCGTGTGTACCTACCCCTTCACCCTCTGCTTTTCAAGCATCTCTTGTTGAACGGCCATTCCTGAGCAGGCAGGATTAGTCCCTTCCAGGCCGAGGAGCGAGCCCTGCCTGTCCCTCCCTGTGCCTGGTGCACGCTTGAGCGAGGAGCAAAATGCCGAAGTCGGAAGGATGCTGCAAACCACACCTCCCTCTTCGCTAAGGATGCTTCTGTCTTCAGTAAAAAGGGGTTCATTAGACC